CTGTCCAATCAGAACTCCTCGGACCAGGCCAACGAGGAGTGGGAAACCGCTTCCGAGAGCAGCGACTTCAACGAGCGGAGAGAGCGCGAGGAGAGGAAGGGCGCCCCCGAATCCGCTGCCGCGGACCCTGCAGCTTCCACAGCCGCCTCCCTGAGCCCCGGGGCGCAGGCGAGGGCGGGAGCGGACAGCGGGCAAACCCCAAAACGCGAGGCGGCTGCCGCAGCCAAGAGGAGCTTCTCCAGCCAGAGGCCCGTGGACCGGCAGAACCGACGGGGTAATAGCGGGCCCAAACCTGGCCGCGGGTACCCAGGGGGGAAGGGCGAGCGCAGAGGAGGATCCGGAACCAAAGTTGGCCGCAGGGGGTGAGTTTCCAAAGTTTGGGGGTTTGGGAGAATTGGAGGGGGAAGATCGGCATTGATCCATGCCTCCAACCAGTTCTCAAAGATTGTACACAGCTTTGGGAATATTACTGCTCTGGCAATTGGAAACTAGTTACTATTGACCCTGGATATCTTGCTGAACAAGAAAAACACAGGGTTCTTAAAGTATTATTTTCCATTTCGGTCAGTGCTGGTTTTCATAAAGTTTTGTCTTCCACAATTATGCTTTAGCAAAATTGTTAATGCTTTGAGTTAAGTTAAGCTCCAACTGCTAATGTACATCTCTTCACAACATTTGTTTCTTGTTAAGATATCTGCTCTGTCAGATACTCCCAAGAGCTGGGACTGCTGCTGTCAGCGAACACGTACTCACTCTTTTTCTCTGGCACCCAACTCGTGAAGTGGCATGTTCTTTTCAGTACTGGAGGTGATGGTGTTACTGACCGTTCTTCATGAGGAGAAGGAGGCACTGTGCTCACCTGTGTGCAGAGATGCTCACATCTGCAATGTTTATAGAATCTATATATTTAATCTTTAATAGCTTGTATTTTGTATAGATTTTAAGATTTGAATGTTATTTGTTCAAAGTCAGATGTTGAAGATCCCCTGTTTTTTCATGAATGATTACCAAGAGCTCATTGTAGGAGTTGCAGGAGTAGACCGTCAAAATGAAGCTGACAAATGGTGCTTGTTAATGTTTCTTCATTCTGGCCTGTCTTTTCTGAATTAATGTACATTTATTAGCATAACAAATTGGCATTTTATGAAAATGAGAAAAACATACACCTTTTATCTCTGCGGTCTTACCCTGCTAAATGATTAATTCTGTTAGAACTCATGGTAAATCATGTATAATATCCTAAACAGTATTCATTAAAATGTTCTCTACGTTTCCGCTTTCCAATTAACAAAATTCAGTCGTTTTCAGACTATCGAGTAAAGCCATACCATGAAGTTGCCTGCATGTTCTAGTGTTCTTGGGGGCACACAGTGAGCATTGCATTGCCGTTTGTGTGGCAGTAGATGCTGGTGTGAGCTGCCAGTAAGCACAGCGTGTGGGTCAGTAGCTAGACCTCCTGTCTTCTTTTCCTCTTCTCTCTCCCTCCCTCCTGTCCTCTCTCTGGCTCTGCCTCCCTCTGTCTCCTCGGCTCGTGTGCTCAGACCGCTCGAGGAGCAGGCTCAGGAACTGACTGCTCTTGATCCAACCAGCAGCGCTGCCGCTCAGAACCCGGATGTGGCCCACGGGGGCTCAGCCCAGCGGCCCGGCAAGGACTCGTCCGCCAAGCGCAAGGAGGAGGCCAAGCAAGCAGCCAAGAAGCCCAAGGAGAAGGCCGACGCGCTGTCCCAGTTCGACCTCAACAACTATGCCAGTCAGTACCCTTGCCCCCTTTCTCGGACAGCTGCTGGAATTTCATACCGTCTTTGTCATTTTGTGTTATTCGGGGGCTGTGGTAACGGGGTGAACTGCACTTGCACTGGGATGTACTTATTGGCCACTGTGCAGCTCAATGATTGCACTTGTCACATACTTAACACTTGAAAGCTTTGTACCTATCCTGAATCGGTTTTTCATTCCTTTCTGCTGTACCTAAAAAACCTGGTCCACATGAATGTGGGATAGTAAAGGGTTTTGAGTCAAAAATGTCGTCATGCATGTAGCTTTAAGCTGTTTTTATGCTTTTACTTTTGGCTAACGTTTAATTCTAGGGTTAAGAGATTAATCGTCTTGAGCAGTCTGAGAAAGCAGTAGGTTTTTCTGAGAAGAGGAGTCCATTAACTGCTTGAACACCTCATTCTGCCAGGTGTAGTGATCATCGATGACCACCCTGAGGTCACGACCCTAGAGGACCCCCAGTCCAGCGCTAATGACGACGGATTCACAGAGGTGGTCTCCCGGAAACAGCAGAAACGCCTGCAGGATGAGGAGCGCAGGAAGAAAGAGGAGCTCAGCGTGCAGGTGCAGGTGATGATTGTGGCTCGGAGGAGGGGAGAAGAGAGGGACAATAGGGGGGCTTTGGGGCAGAATCACACCCTTCTGCAGAGGGGAGGTTGGCTCAAAGATGGTCAGGATGCATGTGAGAATTTTGTTGATTGTATTAACATTGTCCAAAAACAGTAGGTTGACAGCTAATCAGTTTAAGACGATTCTTATATCAAGCATTTTATGTATGTTCCGCCTACAGTATAGTTTGTCTTATGTCTTTCCGCATCTAATGCTTGATCGAAACCTTGTGTGTCTGTTTTGTCAGAACTGGACTAAGAAGGGTTCTGGTGAAAAGAACAGAAGTGGAGGCTCCAAGCTCCCCCCCAGGTTTGCCAAGAAACAGCAGCAGCAGGTGGCACCAGTGAGTCAGCAAACCCAGGCTCCGTCCCAGCCCACCGCCCCTGCCCAGCCACTAGAGGGTGCCGTGCCCTTGCCTGGTGGTCCAGATTTCCCTGGCACTGGAAAGACAATGTCAGCTGGTCAGGCACACAGTGCCCTGGGCACTGAGCTCTGGGAGAACAAGATGGCCGGTTCCGCCGTCCTCACCGACGTCAAGAAACGTAAGTTGGTTATTGATGCAGTCGGCACTGCTTTTCAAATTCACTGTCCCATGCGCCTTTTTCACCCTTGACCTGGCCACATGTACGTGTCAGAAGCCTTAAAAAGGCCTGTTATGTTTAAGCAATATAAGTTTGTTAAATTTTGTGCTGTTTCAGTGGGACCCATCAGCCCACCCCAGCCTCCTTCAGTCAGTGCCTGGAACAAACCACTCACTTCCTTCGCTGGCACGGTTACCCCTGAGGTGAGTCCTTCTACAATACAGCCTCCTTCATTATAATGAGAGCAGGGTGTTCGCTGGCAGGGGTTCCTTCACAGCCTGAGCCAGGACACGGGGGGTGCAAGTGTGACTTCAGACATTCGAATACATAGTGTGTTGCTTATATATATTTGTGTGTTGTATAACAAGAGGCTTATCCATGCTTGTTTTAGTTGTAAATGTCCAGTCCTGTCTGTGGACCGGCTGCTGATTTGCATGATTTACCCAGTGTTTTTTTTTGGTGCAGCAGGGGGCCAAGCCTGCTCCTGAAGGGGGTGTGGAGATGGGCATGGACAGTATCCAGTTTGGCGCGCCCTCCTCGGCAGGCAGCACCGACAGCGACGGCGTGCCCGCCTTGCTGGAAAAGGGGGCGGAAAAGCTTCCCGAGCCCAAGGAACAGAGGCAGAAGCCGCCTCGGGCCGGGCCCATCAAAGCACAGAAGGTACTAGGGGCTGAGCTGAGCTGCCTGCTCGTGGGCTGTGACAAGTGTTAACTGAAGCCCTTGTCAAAGCGCGTCCTGTCTGAATAATCCATCTCGCTGTCCAGTCAGCAAATGGGAAGTCCTTGAGTTACTTGTAAATAGCCAACTGCAATTCTAAGGTTAAACTGTTGAAAAATGACCTTCGTATGAGGTTGCATTCTTACAAATAACAGTATTAAAAGTTTTTTTAATCCTGTGTGGGGAAGATTCTTTTCAGGCAAGGAGATCTGTGTATTAACACTTTGCATGGATTGAGTCCTATAAAAGAGCTCAATTTAACTCTTCTTCTCCTTCACTCCCAACCATTCTCCCTTCATTTCCTATATCCCCTTTCCTCTCCCTTTCTCCTCACTGTCATTTTTCCTTCTCCACCTCCGCCCTCCAAGCTTCCAGACCTCAGTCCCCCGGAGAATAAGGAATACAAGCCAGGCCCCATCGGGAAGGAGCGCTCCCTGAAGAACCGGAAGGCAGCGAAGGATGGCAGGCCGGCTGAGGGCGAGGGCACAGAAAAGGGGGCGCCGGGGGCAGGCAGAGGTCCGGACCCCGGTACCCCCAACAAGGACAGCAAAGGTGTTCCGGAGCTGGGGGGCGACATCGAAGGCATGATCACCGTCCCGTCTGCGGAGTACGGGTCTGGGCCCAAGGTACAGCGCCGCCGGACTGGCGGTTACTTTCTTGAGCTGCAGCTCAGTGCGAGGCTGGTGACAGAACTTGCACTGGGGAAACTGTGCAAAGCCTTTTTAGTTCAAGCAGCGCCATGCCCGTCTGTAATATTGCAAGTATAGTATTGTTTTTATCATCACGGTTCTGAGAGCTTGAGGAGAGTTTCCTCTCCTCCACTCGACTCAACACAGGAACTAGTATGCATTACACTAAGTGGGTTTTTGGGGGTATATATATACCTTTGATTCTCTGTCCTGAGGATGAAGAGGGAAGGAGACTTGTATATCTTTTTTTTTAGTCCATTGTATGTATTGAGAGAATCTAAGTTCACGGCTCTCATTAACGTACGAGCAAACATTGTTTGAATACTCGGCATTAATGGGAAGTGGCCTTTTCCGTGTTGCTCCTCAGGAATCGGTGACGGACTACACCACCCCCTCCTCCTCCCTGGCCGACAGCACCCCCACGGCCAGCGGCAAGATTGAGGAGAGCCTTGTCCCTAATGTGAGTACCGACTGGTTAACAACAGCGTGCCCAGCCCCTTCTGTTCCTGGATTGTTCATGAAAGTTCTAGATTTAGTTCTTGAAAGGGTTCCGTTCCAAGTCTGCCCATGTCACACTTAATTTGGAATCAAACGGCGTGGTCAGCCGTTTTCTTATAGTCATAAGCTTTCCCTTAATCATCATTTATAAAACACGAAGAGACCCCGAGCTGCCCTCTATTGGGCTGCATTGGGTCGATAACATCATTCCATTATTCCAAGAAGTGTGTCTTATATGAGCTACTGTGTGCATGTACAGGTCGCCCTTCCTCATGCTCTGCCTCTTCCCCGGCGAGAAGCCCTGCAGCGCAGTACCAGTCTCACCCCTGTGTCGCCTGCAACTGTTGACCTGACTCTTAAGGTGAGCACTGTGCACTCTCATTCTGGCTTGGTCTTGGAGTAAGCTCTCTCTGTCGTGTATCATCTTCAAGTTAAACTTACTCTGCTCGGCTTTCTAATTCTCAAGCCTTGCCTGCCTTGATTGTTTTACTGATTGACAGATGGAGTCTGCACGCAAAGCCTGGGAGAACTCACCCAGCATTGGGGAGAAGAGCTCTCCAGTGACATCCTCTGCCTCGCCCATCACCAGCGGCGGAGGGGGCAACAGCGCCTCCTACAGCTCCTTCTCTAGTGCTTCCATGCCCCAGATCCCTGTGGCTTCAGTCACCCCAACAACCTCGCTCTCAGGTAGCGCCTGCCTGTCACTATACTTCTACTGCTTCCTTAAATGACATTAAAACCTTAGTTCCCCATATAAGTACTTCTGCACTTCGTAGAAGAGCATCCAACACAGCTCAAGCTCAAGTCCATGAATCCTAGATATATTTTTGTATACTGAACATGGAGAGATGCTGAGATTTGCACAGATTACATGTGGAAGTACATATTCAGAATAGAAAGTCTGAATGCTCCGGCAGTTCAAGTTGTAAATATGAAGTGTAAATGCTTCATTTGTTTCAAGACTAGAAATGCATAAACTACAGAATCTGTTCTGCTGTTTTTTTATAGGGTGCATTCTGTACGTTTTACGTAGTTCTGCCCGTATTAAAAAAACAAGAGGTGATTATTTCCTACCAGACACTCATTCAAGTTGTGTATTTGTGCATGCTTTCTGAAACATTGACAAAAAACAAATGCAGTCAACACAATTCTTTTGTAGCCTCAGGAGCAATCACCAGTCCTGCAGTTAACCAACATGTGTACCCTGTAGTGATGGCACACTCTGCCAGTACATCTACATTTGCAAGTACATGAGCTAGACATGATACATTGAATAACTGAAGGACTTCTATACAATTGGTCTTGATCGGAATCATAAATTACTTTTACTACAAATAATATAGTATTCTATAACATCGTTTGTGGCACTTCGAGGGGTTAACCCAACGTTAGTGTGATGTGAAGTTGAGTCGGTGGTGTACTGTTACACCTGTAGCATAATTGGCTTCATGCTGGAGTAAAGTTACACTTGGGTCTCGGCTGCACACTTGTCACTCAATGAACAAACTTTCAAGCAACTTACTGGTTTGAATTTGTTGTTACCCCCCTAGGATCTGGGACCTACACCACTTCCTCTCTGAGCACAAAGACTACCAGTACCTCGGACCCCCCGAATATCTGCAAGGTGAAGCCCCAGCAGCTGCAGGGGGGGGGCATGACAGGGGGGCACTTCTCCCAGTTGGGCTGTGTGCCTTCCCTCCTACCCCAGCAGCAGCAACAACAACAGCAGCAACAGCAGACACCACAGGTCTTCGTGTCTCAGTCTGCAGCAGGTAGGCCAGTTTCTGCCCATCTGGACTAACCCAGCACATTGATTAAAAGAGGTTCCGAGTTGGTTATTGTCTATGAATTGCCTGTGTGTGTGTTTGTGCATGTCCTGCGATGGACTGGCACCCCGTCCAGGGTGTTGTCCCGGCTTTGCCCTGAGCCTCTGAGTTGGGGCTACTGTGTCCCATACCAGGAAACTGCCTTCGACTGTGGACTGATCAGTTTCACCCAGAAAAGAAACCAAACATTGCAGCATCGATACTTATTGCAGAAGAAAAGAGATGAGACCCCTCTTAGACATCGATATGATCCACTTCAGGTGTTCAAAACACCCTGGAACTTGCTAGGTGCAAATTGTTCTGATAATTATTCATATTGCATATCGTATAAAGTTATTCATATTCAAGTACAGTCATACTTATATATTGAGAAGTATCAAGGATTTCTTGAGAAGAATGTCAGGGCATTGGTTCGAAAACCACATTGACCACCTTGAAGGGTTCACAAACTTTCAAGCACGACTGTATTAAGTTGGTCACAATGATCTCAAAACTCCAACAGATGTGACTCAGCAGTTCTAAACATCTGAAATTGTTCACCGTGCTGTGGTGTAGGGATCTTTATTTCCATTCCTTCACTGGATCAACGTTAATTGATCAAAGCCCACGGGGGCCCTTCTGACTGGGGCTTTTTTACTTATTTTTTTTGCCAGGTTCTGCAGCCCAGATCCCAGCCTTCTACATGGACACCAGCCACCTGTTCAGCACGCCTCACCCCCGTCTGGCCCAGCAGCAGGGCTTTCAGCCAGGGCTCTCTCAGGTGCGATGGACTTCCTGCCAGTCTGCGCTGTGCTGTGCCCATGAGGCAAGGCAGCTTCTCAGCGGCTCTCTTCATAAACCCTTCCCTCGTTGCTCACTGAAGTCCTCCAGTCAGCTCAAGAGAATCATGTTTAATTAAAAATAGCCAAAAAATTGATTTAAGGTGGGATTTCCAAATCGTATTAATTGCTACACCAGTGCGTCCAGGGGAATGGGATGGTGTAGTATATCCCAGTATTGATTCTTTGCCTACCCCATTTTCTATCAAAATTAGAACTTTGCTGCTTTATAGGGATTCTGCAGCATCCTTATAGATGATTCGACCATTAGTTTTCCTGCTGTGATACATCGCTTTGCTTAAAGCGGGTCACAAGATAATTCAGGATGGAACTAGTACATTCAAGTACAGAGAAGATTGGGGCACTGCTTTTATTTACCCATTTCTTTGTTTATAAACCCTCTTCGTTTTGATGTGCGCTCTTTCTCTAAGGTTTGTGCTGCTTAAAATGGTGACAAACAACCCATCAGCGATATCGGGAGAAATTTGATTCTTATTTTGCAATATTTTTTAAAATATTCCAATTTTCCAAAGGAAGAAACAGAAATGAGTTCTTTTGTCCATGTTCCCTATAAAAGACTAGTTTTCCGGAGCAAAGCTAGTTAACGATTTATCCTAGCATCTGTCCTGCCCTTTCATGTCCAGCATGGTTCATTGTGAGATTGTTCTAAGTAAGCAGTCAGTGAGTTGGGGGAGGATGGATCTGATGTTCGGTGCTTACTTTGAATCTAGAAGTCATATCTGTACACTTATAGTCATTTTTGGGAAGTGGGATGTACGTTTGGGGGTGCTCATGTGTTGGCCTTGGACCCTATGCTCTTCCCACCTGCTTGTTTGGATGATTCTCCTTAGGGCCGGTCTTCATGGCTTGACTTTCCCTTACAGCCAACTGCAGTGCAGCAGATCCCCATCCCCATCTACGCCCCCCTGCAGGGGCAGCACCAGCCGCAGATGGGCCTGGGCACTGGCCCGCCTGTCTCCCAGCCCCAGGACCTCTTCAGCTCCGCTCTGCAGCCTTACAGGTGATGCTCCTCCTGACTGTCTCTTGCACAGCTCGCCTGCTCACTTGCCCAGTCGCACAGGGAATAAGCACAGATCCTGTGTAACCTGTCAGCATGTGCAGCTGTTTGTGCATGTGCTGTGCAATTGTAAATTCCTGTTATATCTAGTTTCTTTTGCAGAACTGTTTAGAATCATGACTGTTTTTTTTTTGTGTGTGAAATAGCCAAGGCCTTGCAGAGAGAATCTGCAAACTGGGCTCATGTTTGGTTCCCTGTCTTGGTCAGGTCCCAGCAGGCGTTCATGCAGAACAACTTGTCACAGCCCTCGCCCATGATGCTGTCGGGCACCACGCTGCACAGCTACCCTGGCGTCCAGCCGCCTGACCTGGGCAAGCCCCAGTCCGGCCTGGCCTTCCAGCAGACCTCAAGCACCCAGCACATCCCCATCCTCTTCGAACCCCAGCTCAACCAGCCGTCTGGCCTGGGGGGCTCGCAGCTCATTGACACGCACCTCTTGCAGGTGAGTTAAGGGCAACTTGACTGAAACATATAAAAACCCATTCAAGAAGCCTGGGGGTGGGATTTTGAGACACTCGAGTCAGAATAAACTGTCAACCCACAGTGCACAAAAAATTCCAGGCAACTAGTAGACGCAATAAATATGTAACGGTATTCTAAATGTTATCACTAGGTCAGTAACAATTTACATTCGTGAGATTTTTTTTATCTAAAGTTTGTGGCGTCTTCAGAAAAGTCTTTGAGCCCTCTTGTGACTGTGGAGCCCCTTGTAGTCCATCAGAATGTCTCTGTGTTCCTGTTGTACTGGCTACCACTGGCCTTGGGGCATGCATAAGCAAGAGCAAAGCAAGAATCTTTAACGAAGAGCCATAAGAGTAAATAATTAAGACCCAAGATGCAATGGCAGATTGCTTATGAATCTACTTAGAATCAGGTTTAAATATTTTCTTTACCCATTACAGAAAACCAAGTGTAAAGTGCTCATGCTTCTAAACCAATACTTAAAGCATGAATGGACCCATTATTTAGCATTGTGGACTTCCTAAGTGGGGAAACGGGTCCCTCCAGGCTCAGCCTTGCACTTGGCATTGCAAGTTGAGCCTGGGCTAAAGCTGCCAAAAATCAGAAAACCGTTTTTGTTTGGAAAGCTCCTGGGAGATGGGCTTGGCATCACCAAGGTTTCATCTTATTCTGACAGGTTGCAGAGTTTGATTTCCTGGAACAATTGAAGGAACACAAGTACTTTGTCGACTGTCTTAAATACAAAGATCAGCTAAAGCAGTGATGAAATATATTATTTATTGCACTTTCTATTGCCAATCAAAATTGACAGTTACAAGTAAAGGCTCCTTTGCATAATCCAGGGGGTATATTATGGAGACTCATTGCATAGTAAAGTCAGTGCAGCAACCCTTTGAATTCAGTATTTGTTTTCTGCCCGATGCGCTCAGACTGAAAGTGAATCTGTCGGTGGTGTTTTGGCAGGCGCGGCAGGGACTGAGCCAGCCCTCGAACCTGTACTCGGGGCAGGTGCAGCAGCCTGGCCAGAGCAGCTATTACAGCTCCACACAGTCGCCCAGCTCTGCCCTGCAGCAGGTAAACGTACCCACACACACTCACTCCGCCCAGAGCACCTATTACAGCACCAGGCAGTTCCCCAGCGCTCCTGCAGTCCAGCAGGTAAACCCACGCGCCCGCCCTCTCGCACAGCTGTGCACTACCTCACTTCCGCACGCGCACGTGTCATGATACAAGGAAGCAGCAGCCTTGCAACAGCACACGCATGCACATGAACATCTTCATGACCGTAAAAAGAGCATCTACGCTCCATCAAGACAGACACGGGGATGGGCAGGATCTCCCCTCTTCAGGCCAGAAATATTTCCAAGCTCCGCTCGCGCAGTACCAGCTTGCTGTCGGCAAAGTAACAGGATGATCGAGTTTCCCCTCGCTTTCCTGCCAGGTAACGGTCCCTCTCCCGGGCTCCCAGCTCTCTTTGCCCAATTTTGGTTCGACTGGGGGGCACCAGCCCCTGATTGCTCTGCCTCAGTCCTTGCCGCCGACACCCCCGCAAGCGCAGGCCCCCAGCATGAGCCGCCAGCCGCCGGTCAGCCAGCCTTTCCGTGGGCTCGTGGGGCAGAGTGGACACAGCATGATGCAGCCCTCCAGTAAGGTCAGTTGCGAGCTGATACACAGATTGCTCCAATGTCTGCACTCGGGTTTCTTCCTCCATTGACTCGCCCACCCAGCAGTGGCAAAGCCGATTTTTTTTTTTTAACGCCCAGGCTCACAGCTTCCGGTCGTGTGGGGGAGTCCTCCTTTAAGGGAACGAGGCTGGGCAGTCGTGCCCTTGCTTCTCTCCCACACACCAACGCCATTCAGCATTTGAGATGCTGGAGCGTCCGTGCCGAACCTGGGGGAGTGAGTCATTTCTCATGGACATCACTGCGAGCCTGCATGAGGGGGTCACTGGAGTGTCAGTGACGTCGAGAGCACCCTGCTCAGCTACTCTCAGCTGCAGAATCAGTTGGGCAGTGACGTAATATGACCCAGGCTCAATCTAGTGACTTCTGAGCTGTAGAGTCCTTTTACTGATGGAGTAACTGCAAAGCCAAATCAAGCTTTTTTTTTTCTATCGTTTTCCAGCTGGCTAAACTGAAGCTTGTTCTTACAGTTCCTGATAAACCGCCTAATGTATAGGCGACCTAGTAAAGCATGAGTTGATGCGTGTCGTTAAAGCAGAATTCATAGCAGCATCAATCAAGTGTTGCTTACCTTTGCTGTGCTCGCCTTGTGACCTGTTTCCGATTACTCCGTGTGTAAAGCAGGGGTTTCCAGATAGTCTTTAAAACAATTGACCTCTTTAACTATAAACAAATCGACAGGCGGTTTATTCAATTAAATAATTTAAAGCTATGACTTTGGATTAAAAAATCAGAATATCCCTTAGCTTTCAAGGACCAGTGTTTTTCAGTCTTTCTTTCTCAACTGATGAGTTGCTTAAACAATCATAAATAATGGGCGATCTCGGGTGACCTGTAAGAACGACTGGACTGGGGATCTCCAGGAACAGGAAAAGGGAAAGGAGACCTTTGTTATGGAGTGAGCATATAATAGGTTCTGTCTAATTTCAAATATCTTTAGATATTGGATGTTTTCCTTTTTGTACAGTCAGTTGAATCTGCTCCTGTGTGTGTGTGTAAGCTGAGCGTCTTGAATTACAAAGTGAAAATCTTTACGGGTTGTGGGGCTTCTGCATTAGCAGTGTGCCACAACTGACATGTGCGGCGACTCTCTCTGCAGATGTGCGAGGTAGATCTGAAGCTGTTTGGCAGTGGGATGGATGTGAAGCCAGGGACTCCCCCGGTCGGTGCTCGGAGCACCACCCCCACCTCCAGCCCCTTCAGGTACATCGTCCTCCCCAGCATACGCTTCCTCAGCCCGTCACTCGCCCTTCCTCTCCCTGCATCGTCTTCCCCCGTGCCGCTTCGCCAGCCCAGTCCTGCTCCCAGTTCCTCCTCCGCTGACCACGAATGTTGTGTTGTGGCTCGCAGGGCCAGCTCCACCAGTCCCAACAGCCAGTCCAGCAAAATGAACAACATTGTTTACCAGAAGCAGTTCCAGTCGGGCTCGGGGGGTGTGCGAATGCCCCAGCACTTCCCAGCGCAGTTCACCCCACAGGTGAGGACTTTGCCGCTACAGTGTCTCTTGGTCACGCACCTGGATATGTTGCTCATCCAAATGGGTTTGCCCACCACCTTCTCACAGGCTAGTCACTTAACCATGTCTGCTCATTTTTCTCCTGACTAACATTCTGTTTGTTTTGTGAACTTGTTTAATTTCCTAATTTATCATATCTGACTTCAAATGCAGAAATACCTGGGTACAAATAACACCACCACCATTTTTTTTTTTACTGAAACCAACTAATCTGTGAGAATATCTTGGTCTTTGCATACTTGGGCAAAAAGTTTATATCAGTAGGTAGGGTGTGGTCACACATGTTTCATGGGGAGGGGGTGATCGGTCTGATTGAAATTTGTGATCCAAATCCAGCACGTGAATAAAACGTTGGCAGTAAGGATCGCAATACGGAATCCTCAGGGATTGCAAATGTATCGATGTGCGGAAGGCAAGATGGTAAATCCTGTGGACTTACAAAATAATGCCAGACATTTTATTTCAATGCTTTACCTCTTGATAGCAATTTGTGCAGTGGTGTAGGTTTTTTCACAATTACTTTTGTGGGACACGCACTGAACTAAAGCAGTCTACCCACTGCTAGAATGCAATGGACAGCAGGAGGTAGGCTTAGATTACTGAAATAGGACTGTTACAGAATACACCACCAAAGGTGCTGTCTGAAGATGATGGAATCTGTTCACTCGTTTGTGGTGGCAGTGGGGATCAAACTGTCCTGGCAAGGTGCAGGCGCCTAAGCCAAACCTTGTTGAAGCCTTTTTTTTTAAATGCAACCAATACCAAGAAACTCCCTGCTAAACAAGCAGATCACTGGGCACTGAGCACTACTCATTTTAATGGAGCTTTAAGAGTTGGATTTCTGTGTAGTGTGTGTGTGAAGGTAGAGTATTCAATGGTCAGAAACAACAATTGGAATCAAATAGCAGCGGCGTCATAATCAGCATGATAGGCAAGGGTCCTCTTAATCTTGTCAGATGCATACATTATTCGCTCAGAAAAGCTAAACCAGGTCACCACTGCTGGTGTAACATGATTTTTCATTATAAATACAAATCGTGTCTAAATTTACATGGAGTCAGTGCTCATAGAATCTGACACTTTGCGGAGAACAGTTTAATAGTGAAATGCAGATTCTGATGGACAGGGTGAGAGTTGTTGGGTGTGTGCGGTTAGGGACGTGTACAGAAGTCTTCTGTATTGCGGATATTACACAGTTTACGTTTTGCGTCTCTCCTTTCCCCAGATGCTGTCTCAGCCCAGCCTGGTTTCTCCATTGGTGCGGCCCCCCCACCACGGCAGCTCCTTCCCTGGGGGAGTGCAGAGGACGCCCATGGGCACCCCCATGTCCCCCTCCCTGAATGCCGGGCTCATGCCGCACCCCCGGCCTCAGCACGCTCCCCGTGGCCCCCCTGGGCCCCCGCTGGCCCCCCGGGGAACCCATGCCGCGCTCAAAGCGGAGCAGGACCTCAAGGTGAGTGGCGACAAGCCGAGGGCCACAATGGTGATGAGGGACCACACCTTGGAGTCGGGGCAGGGTTTTCTAAAGCTCGCGCACATGAGCTCCAGCACGTGGCACTGATAGTCACAAAGACCATCATTAAAGTGCTGTTTGATTGTCTCCGCTCGAGTCTGTGAAGAAAGTTATCCCTTTAAGATGAACAGTCTGACTCGATCTTAAATGAGATGGGAAAAGTGATTTACAAGTGGTATCCTTTCTTCTGCCTCTTCCACCTCTTCTCCGCTTTCCTCCCCGATTCCTCTCCCTCGCTGGGCCCCGTCTCTCTCCTCCTCTCCCCCCCAGGCCAAGCAGCGCGCCGAGGTGCTTCAGTCCACACACAAGTTCTTCTCCGAGCAGCAGCAGCTCAAGCCCTCCGGGAGCAAGCCGGCGCGCGGGGAGGGCGGCGGGGGCAAGCCGGTCGACGGAGGAGCGGCGGTACCCCAGGGGAGCGCCCCCGAGCGCTCGGAGGGCGACAAGGGCCCCAGCCAGGCCCCGGCCCTCTCCATGTCGGGGTCCAAGCCCGTCCGCACCGGCCCCATCAAACCCCAGTCCATCAAACCCGAGGAGACCAAATAACCAGCTGTGTGTCCATCTGCCTCTCTCTCTCTCACAGGCTCGGGAGGATGAGCCAAGACTCGCTCGGAGAGCTGTGATCAGGCCCTCGCTCTGACTTGTTCCCCCCCTGGGCTCCCGGCTATCCTGGAGTTTGTCAGGGAGAGGGGATGGGGAGGGGAGGCGGCAGGGGGTCGGGAGATGGCCTCCTGCCTCACAGAAAGATGGGGGTGCCGCTTATGGGCACTTTCAGTAGCCTTCCTCTCTCTCTCTCCCTCCCTCTCCGCCCTTCCCTGGAGAGCCTCGGAGAAGAGTGGGGTGCTGTTTCCCTACGTTCTGTGTCGAGATGGTGCCCTCTACGCCGCCGCACGGCGGGAGAGACGCCACTGCATTGGTATCTGTACAGCAATGACGAGAGAAAATTGCTGCTGAGTTTGATATTTTTTTATATATATATCATTTTTTCATGTTTTATTTTTGTTTTCCGGGTAGCCTTGAGTATCTGAGGGGTGGGCAGTTTTTTTTCCAAGAATCGTAATTTCTTTTAGTCAAATAGTGAAATTTTAGGAAGTGAAAGTTTATCACCCCCCCCTTAAGCAATGAATCTGAGACGTGTGAACTAACGTTGTGAATGACGAGCGGTGTAGCGCCACCTGTAGGGGCCAGGCAACGGCAGCCAGAAGGGGGCGCCACATACTCCTTTGTCACTGAACGGTTAAACTCCGCTTTGGCTTGAAATCGGGCTTTTTAAAAATGTTTTTGGGAAATTGAACTTGAGGTGCTACTGCTGTTATTGAAGCCAGTTGCCATTCTGCCTTTTCTGTTTTTATTTTATTTTTTCCTCTAATGCAGTTTTGACTAAAAGACGCGATCAGTGTGTGTTCCAAAGTGAATAATGGGCTAGAAAACAAATCTTGTAGAGGTAGAGCTGAAGGGGTGAGCCAGCTCAGCTGTGGGAGCTGCGTTAAACAGGGTTTGTTAATGCCAGGGTGCCTAGCACTCCCTTATCGGGGGAAACATGTAGCTTTACACCCAGGGAGCAGGTGGAGAGACGAGGGGAGGGGGCTGAAACTGCTGTTGATCCTCCATTCAGAGGAGAGCATGGGTGAGCAAGAAGAGGCTGGACTTCCACGCAAAACCATTTGATCCTAAAGCCAATCTCCTACACTGGTCCACTTGCCCGAGACACCAGGGGATTGCATTGTGAATTGCTGCTTAACGCTAGATTAAGACACTTAAGTTGTTCGACTGGTCTTACTGTGTGTGGCAGAAAAAGGTACTAATGTTTCTAATCTAATGCGAACTTCCTCTTCCTCTAGGCAGATTCTCTGTTGTCTTTAGCTTGTCCCTCCGATCACTTATCTACGTATCTCATAGCTGCTATAGTCTACCTTCCTCTCGCAAAGCCATCTTGCAAGATCTCGGCTCCATCTGCTCCTTAACATGCGAGCTCGCAGTAGGAGGTGCTCGGTATCTGGAGGGAGTGAAACCCAGCAGAAACTGGTACATGTGGTTGTGCTTGTGCATTTTTCCCCCCCCTCCTGTTTCCTGAACTCGTATCTACGTTTGAATAACGTTCTGCTGCTGAAATTGAATCGTTTAAACAACACGCCAGTATGGAGGAGGGGGGGGACATTACGCTTAATCTTGGCGAAGCACCCAAAGCATGGCAGTTCACGCCGACCGCCGTCGTCTCTGAAGCCGCACGAGGTGAAAGCCGAGAGGAGGTGCAGGGGGCTCCCGCCTTTTGCCGAGAGACGCTGGAGAAAGGACACCCTGCGTTGCTCGGAGACTGAGCTAGAGGCCCTGCAGCCTTGCATTCCCCGTCGCTCTCCATCACCTTAACACTGCTGTCTGTTCCCTTCCACTTCCTTCCTGTCCGGCCTGCAGCTGCGTCTGTGATGCCCGACTGGCAGATCTGTCTACTGTGTGCGCCAGGGTGGCATTGTACAGACCCCGGCAGCCCTGTGGGATTAGACATTGTTCTGGGGAGGGAGGGAGACTGTTTTTGTTTCACTTGTACAGGGGTTAATCGCTGTATTAAATATGTACGGTCTTATTTACATTGGTTTGGTTACGGAAACTAATAAAATAATATGATGTAAAACAGTTTGATAGCAGATTGTTTATTATGTACTCTCTCAAGCTGTGCTCTAGTTGTACACGAGAGGAGCTGTCAATCAAATCTGCAGAAAAGTGTTTTAAACTCAACATAGACCTCTCATAATAATAATGAACTTTATTTTATGTAGCGCCTTTACAGGTGGCTTCTCAAAGTGCTTTACAGGATGACAATAACAATAAATAAGAATAATACAACAATAAGTAAGAATGCACAAGATAAAGCACAATTACAATATATAGAGGAGGCCGTGGATGGTGGAACTAAGAAGAGCAGAGGGGTGAAGAATGGAACCAGTTAAGTAAAGGCTTTTCTGAAGACGAGGGTTTTGAGTCTAGATTTGAAGGAGTTTAGAGAAGGTCTCTCTGATATCCTTGGGCAGAGAGTTCCGGAGCTTGGGGGCATAACAGGAGAAGGCCCTGTCACCCATACAATGTAGACAGGGGACAGTTAAGAGAGCAGAATTAGAAGAGCGAAGGTTGCGAGGTGGGGAGCACAGCGATAATAGTTCAGACAGCTACTGAGGTGCCAAGCCATGCAGAGCCTTATAGGTGAGTATGAGGATGTCTAATGTCTTAATGTCTACACGGAATTTGACCGGAAGCCAGTGCAAGGACTCCAGGATGGGAGTAATGTGTGGTAGAGTTGTCTCTTTACAACTCTAAATAGTTGTAAAGAAGGAAACATGCAAGTTTTTCTCTGTCTTATTTAATCATTGATCTTTCCAACAAAAGTATGATGCTTGTAAGCAAAAGCTTTGTCACTCCGGAGATCTGAGTTTTGTGAAAAACCTGAAAAGCTTGTGATCCAGAGAGGGGGTAAAGAAGCAAGAAGGCAGAAAATCCTAAGCTAAAGCAAATGTCCTTTCTGAATTCACCACTAGAGGGAGGCCTCACCCTAGGATTTTCTGTGTGGGGTAAGACTACAAAACATTTACAGTAGGAGTGACAGAAGTTTGGCGTTTCATATCATGGGTGCCAAAGTGTGTTGTGGAAAATGGGCAGTTCCACGGTGTTGGGGGAAGCTTCTCCTTTTTGTGTCGTTTTGCCTCAGTTATGCTCAGTGTCGGCCTCTCTCTGTGAAGGAGTGTATTTGCCTCTCTTGGCCATGTGGAACCTTTTTACTATCTGCTTGAGTACTGGTCTGCAGTTGAGAGAAAAGGGTTGAGTGACCCAGTCCTTTTAATCACCCAGTTGAATTGTGAGCTTAAAGAAAATGGAATCAGAGAACCTGACTGGAAACCGCTGTACACTGCTGGAATTAACCAGTAAAGGGGCTTACTCAGAATAAGTGAGCTTAGATATCTTCTTCATTGGCACACAAAAGTGAGGCTGTAGGTGTGCCAGACACCCGTATCAGAGGAGAAACGGGTTGCTCTTTCAGCCTGCTGTGTTGTGTGGTGAGCAGTCAAGGTGGAGTCGATTAAGGAGTTGCCTGGAGCCCTGGGTCAGATGTCACAGTGACAACTAATTGCAATCCTGATTCAGGAGTGCATAAAGAAGAAAAATGTGCAAGTACAAACAAAAGAACAGTCCTAGACTGCCTGCAGTCCTTGGGATTGTCTAAAATAAAACAAGTATGCAACGAAGGATTGGATAAGTATACATACTCTTTATTTTTCCTTTTCCAGCATATAAATCTATACAGAATTCAGTATTAAATTAAGACACGCAGGAAAAAGCAAGTCTTGATACCGCCTTGTAGAACGGGTGTCAACACTAGTGGCGTTGCTCCTGTCAGCAGTGGTGGGGGCAGAGTTTGAAAGAGAAGGGTTGTCAGCACTGCTTGGCTGAAGTGAGCAGTAGTTGGTTAAAAAAAAACAAGTTTAACCTTTAAGGTTTGCTTGAGTTTCATGGTGTTGCTCAGAGCAGCTTAACACATTTAAGTCAGTTCAGGGAAAAGTTATCTTTAAACACTAATTGAAGTGTTTTCTTGCAAGCAACTGTACATCGTTTATAGATTCAGTGCATTGCTTCACATGAGCAAATCATTTTTGAAATCACGCCCCACACTTAGCAGCACAGACTGATCAGGATAGATTTGACAATGAGGCTGCTAGCAAGATACTATCATTGTGAATAGCGAGATTCTGCAAACTTGAATAATACGATGTCATTAATAGGATATCATGTTTAGTTGTCAAAAACCTATGGGTGATGCATGTATATATCCACTTGTCCAGGTGTACATATTATTTGTACATACATTTTGCCAAATGGACTGTGTGTTGGGAGGGACTGACCATTTTGTACACTGAGACTGCAAGGGTGCTGTCCTGTTAAATTTGTCTAATTAGAAGAGTCTTGGATCTGACAGCAGCCATTTGTCAGGGCCAAGCATTCATGCAGTTAACTCGCTACGCCTCGCCCTGTTTCTTGAAACCCGGACCCCTTTCCTCTCTCTTTCTTCCCCCACCCCATCAATGCTGTATGCTAAACACTCACACAACAGACAAACGAACATCATAGAAAAATAATTCATCTGAAATGCACGGCCTGCGAGCATGGCCCATCTCCCGCTCGCCACCTGCTCCTGCTCTGATCATCCGCTTTCTCCAAACCAACGGCCCTCATCTCGGCTGGCAGTCTGGTCGTCGCTGCCAGTTTCTCTGAACCTGCTTGTGCCATGGAGATGGGAAGAGTTGATAGATCTGGTAGTTAATCTGATAAAGCCTGTCCAGGGAGGGCGAGAGCAGCTCGGAGTCTTTAATGGAGGCACTGAACTAGAAATCTGCAGATAGAGGAGATGCCTGAAGGTGGGAGGAGTGTGGCGTGGTCTTGTGTGACGTGTGACGGGACGCGAGGTGTGTCTGTGCATGCGCGGCCATCCCCTTGCATGTGGGTTCTCATGTGGTGTGTCGGATGGCGTACGTTGGAGCGTCCCTGTGTGTAGCTCAGTGGCCCTGCCTGCTCTCCAGCCGCACCTCGTAGCTGACCATGTGGAAGTTGTCCCAGGCGTACAGCTTCCTGCTGGTGGGGTTGTAGTCCACCATGCTGTTGTAGCGGTAGCGGTTCCGGAAGGGCACAGCCACGGGCTTGCTCAGGCCGCTCTCAGTGTTGAAGCTGTAGTTGACAGTGGTGTCGGGGGAGGTGTAGCTGTTGATGGTGTAGAGCGTGCCGCAGATCATGAAGGCGTTGGCCACCGACTGCTTGTGGATGTTGGTTTCCCAGCTTCTCTGCACCTGGAAGGGAACAGAAAGAGGTTGATTCAGCCCTATGGAGCTTCCCTTGTCCCTGTGCAAGACCATGTGGCTTGGAAGCTTCTGCCCTGTATTAGCAGTTGGCCTTCATCGGGGTCGGGATAGTATCTCCTGCGTGTTAGTTTCCCCATGTTCTGCTTGCTGAGCTCACTGGAGACAGCCAGGGGGTGAGGTTGGCTACGCACCTCCAGAGTGTTGGGGTCCAGCCGGGAGATGACGATGGCGCCCCTGGCCTTGCTGGTGCTGTATATCGCCCAGAGGCCCTTCTCGTCCGCGGCCAGGTCGATGTCGGTGTAGCCGCCCCAGGAGTAGGGGTACTGGCCGTGGAAGCCGGCGTGCGGCAGCTCGCGGCGCGCGGCCACGCTCTCGGTGGCCAGGTCGTAGCGCAGCAGCGTGCGGCTCCGGCGGCGCTGGTAGTAGAGCGAGCCGCGGTACAGCGCGGCGCCCGTGCTCTCCACCGGCTCCGGCAGCAGCAGCACCTTGGTGGGGAAGCCACGCGCCAGCTGCTCCTCGTCCTCGTAGCCGAACAGCTGGCGCACCTCGCTGCCCACCGTGTCGACGCGCCACACGGTCTCCGGGCCGTAGGGGGCCACGGGGAAGGGGTCCTTCATCCACACGCCGTACTTGCCCGCGATGCTGTCGGCCTTGCGGTGGGTCTTCGGCTCTCCCACCCAGACGAGCTCGCCGCAGCCTGCGGAGAAGGGCGAGGGGGGAGAAGGAAGTACTGGCGGGACAGGGGGAGGAGACGCTGGGGCAGAGCACACTTCAGTCCCGTACACAGCTAGACAGTCTCGTGGCATGGGGAGCAAACAGGGTACACGGACCCTTCCGGACGCCCTGGCGAGAGACCGCCCAGGGAAATCAGGAGGGGTATTCACGGTTCTCCGGAAATTCCCAGGATCGTGGGGAGGAAGCTGTGGAGGACGGTCTGTGAGCTCCCTGCTGCTCTTGTTTCTGATGGAGCAGCTGCTTCAGCAGGGTTTTGGATCTGTGGGGGAGCTGTAGTGTGTGGCTATGCAGGAACGGCCATCAGCCTAGAATCCCAGTGCACAACAGTTTGGGCCATTGTGGATTGCTGCACTGCAGCCTGCAGCTTGTATATCTTAATGTACATGAATATATAGTTCTTTTCTGCTATATTATTTTAAATTAGCATTAGGTGGGGCATCGATCTTTAAGTGTTTAGCCCTAGACTTAATGCACAGGGAGAGTTATTCTGTGGCCCCGCTGCGTGTGGGCAGGGGCTGGCGGCGCCGTACCTGTGTCGCCTTCAGCAGGGGCAGGGCCTGGCCCTGAGCCTGCTGGGAGGAGTCGAGACGCAGGCACCTCTGTCACCTCTGCCTTGAATTCCTGGTACCTTGGCACGCTGAAGTGCCAGGCGGGGTCTGAAACACACACAGAGAGAGAGAAAGACAGTCATACAGAGATGCACGAGGTAGGCAGGTTGTGAAACAACGATGGACAAGAGCAGACTGCGTCAGACTAACTACCCCACTTCTCTGGGCTCCATCACTCCCCTCGCTGTGATGGAAACGGGCAGAATTCCAGCTTTCAGGAGGCTGGCTGAAGCCAGAGAGCTGTTTTGGGTGTAGGAGTGGCCTGTGTGGCTAATGATTTCTCTGTAGAGATGCTGGCGTGTATAACGGATGTTGGCCTGTGCATGGCAGTGATGCAGCAGTCTGTACAGAGCCGGACTGAAAGAGCTCTGGCCCTGTGCGAATGCAGGGTCCAGTACCTCTCACCCCACTGGGGGATTCGGATGATCCTCTGGGCTGGGCCACCAGGCTGGACAATAGGTTAGATCCTGTGGAGAGAGAGAGAGGAGAATTGTAATAGATGCAGGGGGAGAAATCAAGTACAGGGCTCATGCAGAGTAACCCCCTCCCAGCACTGGCTCCACAGCAGTGATGCTCCAATTAGGTCGCTGACCCAACTGTGCAAACATAGAACTGCTGACACAGACCTGGAGCCCTTGTGAAAAATATTTAATGCAAATAAATTATGGAGCTCATCTCGATTGAGAAGATGAGGATGAAGCCCCTCCTTCATGCTGTAGCTCAAGCATGCCTGCTACTCTGGCTGAAAGGCAGGAATGCTCCAAGAGGAAACATACACCTAAGGTGGGGGGGGCACTGGGTCTCCTACTGAACAGCTTTCCCAGCTGCTTTGGAGCCTGGCAGACTGACCCCCCCCCCCCCCCCCCCTCCGGTGTAGTGAGCCACTACAGCTCCCAGGTGGCAATGTTGTCCCACTTCTCTGAGCCAGACTGGGCTCAAACCCCAGGAGGCAGTGCGAGTGTTCCCACAGCTGGGCGTGTTTACAATGACATCGCCACCCAGAACTACACAGTGTGCGCGCACCTGCTACAAACCACTTGCCCAACAACTGAAGAAAAAGCACATGAGGAGTTAATGACTAAAATACTTGCATGTGCAGATTTCATTTTTGTAATCTGTCACGTGTCTGGCGCTTGTGCACAGAAGCAACATTTGCAAAAGCGCGTTGTTTTGGAAAACATTTCGAGTTGTAGCTGGCCCTAGGTTCTATAAATGTTGTAATTACTGAATGCTTCAGCCTTTTTGAAGTTGGACATATCAGCCAGGTCTCTGGAGGGAGGGTGGTTTGTCTTGACTCACAGTCAGTTGGTAATGTTTAGCCTCAGATTAAAGTTTGACACTGACAAATGATGGAGAAATCAGTGATTAAACCCAGTTCTTATAAAACTGCAGCTAAGCTCCATGTGTGTGCTTGAGGCAGTCCTGTTCGGGATTGTATCGAACAGGATGGCCATCGGAACATCTGGAGCAGTGCTGCGGACCTTGATACTAACCATCTGGCATATGGCCTTTGTTGCCCTGGCAAGTTGTGTTTTCACTTGACAAGGGCCCTGGTATCTATTTCCTGCTTCCTGACCCCTTGAGCACAGGACATCCTTGGCCTCTCCCAACCTCTCTGACCTCTTTTACAGCCTTAGTGTCTGGAGCACAGCATGACCTCTCTAGGATAATGGTTCTATGGACTGATCTCTACCCTCCCCTGCCTTGACCGTCAGCTGCCCATCCTCCTCCCTCTGGCCTGGGAGGGTCTGCGCTCCGTGAGTAACAGCTGCATTCTGCCTGAAAGGAAACCCCAGGTTCCTGAAAAGATTACATCCGTTTCATGATGACAGGTTCATGATCCGGGTCTTTTGAACTTCAGCGCAATGCAGACGGCATTTCTAATCAATGTTTCAAGATGGCAAACATCTACTATGACTGAATCTGGAGTTCTGCACAGAGAGAGTTTACTACTGCATATCCCACTGGAAGTAAAACCCCCCCAATCAGTATAAAAGCTCCCTCAGTGCTGGCAGCGGTTTGTCTGAATGAATGAGTTCCAGGATTCTGTTTGCAGATCAGTACCGTGGTCTGTCTGTTTCAATCCCACATTGCACTCTGCTCAGCTGCAGCTCTGGCTCAACTCAGCACTGAGCTCTCTGCACCACGCTGGCTCCGTCTGTATCCCAGTCTAACCTGACCGTTAAGCCGCATCCTCATTAGTGCTCTTGTTTCTTGCATTAGAACGGGCGCATCAGCTGATACTGATACCATGAGGAACCGCAGACAGATATAGGATGAGGCTGGACAATCTTCCAGAATCCATACAGTTTGTGTCCTTTGCATTCCTAATGATCGCCAAAACAACCCCTTTACAACATCTATGAGGCGATAAGAAGAAGATTTATCCAAAACAAACTCTCCAGAATAATTGGAAGAAATTCAGTTCCTTATTCCTGACATCAGATGTGTGCTGTTCTCTGGCTGCTAGTCCAGCTCCCCTCCCTGGTCATTCTCAATCTGTCACTGTCCTCCGGGACCTAAGATGTGCCCTCCTCAAACCTGCAGAACCCACAGCAGGGAGCTGGAGCTGCGACTGGCCAGGGACATCAGGGCTGGTCAGCGAGAGGGACTCCAGCAGACCCACCAGACTTGCCGTAGGGACAATCGGCTCTACCCCGAGTCTCGCATCCGCCAGGCTGGGGTTCGAATCTGCACTCGACTTGCTCAAAGCCATCACGACCACCGCGCCCTTCCACCACCCCCAGACCTGCCAACGCGGACGGGACGCCTGTTCAGGGACAACACCTGGCAATGCAGGGCAACAGTCTCGGAACCTTTTTATTAACATCTGAGCGGGCAAGGATCCAGAACATTGCACGGGGTGTGGGAATGACGCCCATGTCCACAGTACGAGACCTCCGAGACAGAGGGGGTGAGTGCGACCTCTGGGGACGCGAGAGCAACACCTGCATGAGCTTTCACACCTGTCACACTGCTGCCAGTGAAGCGCACAGCCCCTCGCACACGACAATCGCTTTTTCCCCTCTCTCCCTCTCTCCCCGCCCGTTTGCCTCTGAGCTGCTTCATCTCCCTTTCTGCCCCGGCTGCTCGACTCTCTCCGTACTCACCGCTGGGGGGTCTCTGGCCGCTGTCCTGCAGCGTGGCGGCCTGGGGGGCGCACTCTCCGGCCTGCAGCTTCTCGTTCTCCCTCCTCAGCGCGTCCAGCGCCCGCTGCAGCTCCTGCACCTGCCTGTCCAGCCCATCTCTGGCTCTCTGCAGCTCCCTCTTCTCCTGCAGCGCCTGGCTGTACGCCGCCTGCAGCCCCCTCTGCCCCCGGGCCCCCTCCTCGCTGCCCCCTGCCCAGCGGCTCGCCAGCGCCTCCAGCAGCGCCATCCGCGTCTTCAGCCCGTCCAGCTCCTGGCGCTGCAGCGCCCCCTCCTGGCCGGGGGGGGAAGGGCAGGTGCCCTCCTCAGGGCTTGGCACGGTGAAGGTGTAGTGGCAGCGCCCGTTTTGGTCGTTACCCCTCCGCAGCGTGGCGCTGCTCTGCGCCAGCCCCCCGCCCCACAGCAGGCAGGACAGACACACGGCCGCCGGCAGCCACATGCTCGACACAGGGCCCGTCTCCTGCCCTGCACCTGTGCCACTCTCTGCCTCGCTCCCTCTCTCCTCTCTTCCTGCCCTTGTCCTGCTCTTCTTCACCGAGCTTTCTGCTGCGTCAGTGAGAGCTCAGCGCCCTGTCTCTGCACCTGACTCCACACTCCTCCCCGGTTCCCCCTGCCTCTCTCTGCGTGTACCTGCCTTGTCTCTCTCCCTCCCTCTGTGGCGCACTGGAGCTATCCCTGATCTGTCCTGACCTGTCCTAGCTCCAGACACTCTGAGCGCTCGCAGGCAGATCAGGAGATATTTATACATCTGGGAGGGCGGGACGGTGAGGGCGAAGGAGGGAGGCGGGATGCTGTGTTTTGGGATTGCCGAGTGACAAGAACATTCCAGAGCAGTGTTTGGGAGCTCTTAAAGCAACAGTGTTTCTCTCTGTGTGTGTTGTGAGGGTTATTGTGTCTGAGTATCCAGTGTCATTTCATGCACATCAGTTCATGCATTTTTGAAGGAAAAAGGGGATGCATCCACACCATACCTTTAACTATATATTCCTTAGTTATTTTGGTTAACTCAAAATGTTGAAACCTATTCCATTTTTCCTATCGCTAGTTTATAAACTGTACTAGTTGCAGAAATTGCTGAAGATTGATGGATTGCTAATATAAAAGCCTAAACAACTCAATTCAATGCATTGCTGTGCATAGTAATATAAGAAAGTACTGATCCAGGTGAATATTGCCCGTCCAGCTAAACGAGCAAACTGGATTAAATGCTAAAGCTCATTACCAAGCAACAGTTACCAAGGGTTACATATAGAGAGAAGTAGATTACAATTTGTACTTTTTTTGGCTTCTTTGAAGAAATCTAGTAGCAATCATGACATTGTGTATCTGGATAGTTCGAAAACCTTTGACAAGGTTCACCATGAGACTCGTCCTTCAATTAATGGTGCACAGAGCAGATGGACTCCAATCTGGCCCCAAGGTAGGACAGAGAGGAGACATTTCTGGGATGGACGGGGAATACAGTGGAGTCCCACAGGGCTCAGTGCTCGGACCACTGCTCTTCCTAAAACTCACACGGATCGTGTCGATTTGCATAAAAATGATGGATGATACAGAGCTTGGGTGAATAACCAACATCCAGCGCAAAAGTAAAAAAAGGCAGACAGAAAGCCTGTTTATGTAGCAAGAATTGCAGTATAGAAAGAAGTCTTTCTTAAACTGCACTGCTCTAAAGTAACATGGATCATTTCAGGGCTGGAGGCAAGGCACTATGAGAACCCTTTTTTCTGTTCTCTGTGTAGATGTCCAAGAGGAGGCTTGACTGAGGTATGTTTGGGGAGCAGAACAAGGTAGAAACTGGTTAGAAGCAATAAGTAGAAAAACCTTTTTTACACACAGTGAATTACTGACTCATGGAATATGCTTTACGTTGTGGCGACAGAGACCCAGGGAACTCTCAAGTCATTGCCTTATTTTTTTGTTGTGTTGTAAAAAGTGCAGAAAAGTCAGACCTGGGAACTCTTCTGAAATCTGAAAGACCTTTCTGCCTCAGACAGATAGTTAAACTAAAGAAACACATCATCTACAGCAGATTAACTTGAAATTGATTTCAAACAAAATTAAAACATTTACGTGTTTCCTTTATTGCATCATGTCTGCGAAGTGAAGAATATTCTTAGATTCCAATTCATTCCCTTCCAGCCCCATGTTGTGTTGACAGGCTGGGTGTCTTGAATATTCAATCTTGACAGACCCTTAACTATAAATCCAAGGGTGTTGTAAACAAGGTATTGTTTACAGACAGCTTTGCATAAACAGAACCATGTTGTTAAAAGTTTCAGATCGGATTGAATTTTAATGTCAGTAAGATCATAGCCTGATTTATGTGCTTAACTTGTTGGAAAATAACTTGGCTGCATGTCGGAGCAGACCTTGTGCTGAGATTAAACGTTGTGCTGAGATTTTTTATAACAGACCATAGCAGGATTTGTTTGAATTTCATCGGAATGAGCTGTACTAAAATGCAGCTGTACTGTCCACGAAAAAGGCTGTTGTCTTTGTCTTTGATGCAGGTCTGTGGCGGACGAAATGAAGGAAACGCATTCTTTTTTGGTATGAAAAATGTTCATCTGTAGGTCCCACACACCTTTTCAATGTCACGTCTGAAGCTAATTTAAATTGAAGGGTACACCAAACAGTGTCTAAGTCTAGTTGTGATGATCTTTTGTTTTTCAAAATGTAAATGTAGTTCCTTCCAAATAACTACAAATTCAAATAATCCTAATCTGTTACACGTGTGGAGTAGTGCAGGGGATTACATTACATCACCACTTCCCTTCAGCACCTGCTAACCTGCACTGTGGCATGGCGTGTGCTCAGGGAGGTGTTGTGCTGTGCAGTGCCTGACTGATTAATATCTCTTGTTGCGTTTTTTTTTTCCCAAGCACCAGAGGGATCTTTCGGACTGCTCTGCCCAGAACTGCACAGGAATGTCAGGGCGCCAGTGTTTGGGAATTCTGGAATATGCCCGCCGTGGGGAGCTGGGGATTGGATTTCCAGTTTGGGGAAGGTATGCCCAGAGGGGCAGCTGAAGGAGTGTCCTGTTACTGGGCAGAGAGAGCCAGCTCTTTGGCAGCGTGCTGGAACAGGGGCTGAAGCCTAGTGCCTTTCTCCCCGGAGTCACTCTGACTTGGCCTGTTTCCCTCGTCCACACCTCCTCTTCCGACCACGCTGAGCTTTCTGGGACCCATTCTGTTCTTCATCTTCCTCCTCTCTTCCGTTCTGTCCTGTTTTTTCTTGAAGTCCTTCAATTCCACTGCTGTGACAAAACTCTTTATGACCTCTTAGAAGGGCATTTTTTGATAGTTTGTACTGTTCGTTCAGCAGCATTAAATGAATTCTGCGTGCAGCCCACTGTAGACGCTGCTTGTGCCATTGCTGTCCGTCTCCTCATCACTGATGAACCCGCCGTGTCGCTGGGTGACAGTCCTGGACCGCAGTGGCTCCACTGTGTTTGGAAGTGCTGGACACAGAGAGGGCAGTACATACAGTGACAAATTCAGGTCTCAAGATCCCACTTATTAATAGTACAGGACGTCTCCTCTCTGCACATTCCTTCACTCGGGGTTTGTGTGTATCCCCTCTGGGTAGGGGGACAGTTTAGTACTGCCCCCTTGTGGGAATGAGGAGCGGCGGTCTCTGCCTGCCCAGTGCAGAGCGAGTCAGCTCAAGAGACGCCCACTCAGAGCCCAGGAGGGAGATGATTGTTTTCACTAACTCCTCGCCTGAGTCTTCATGTTATTTTCTCTTCATCTGTTTTTCTGCATAAAATATCTCCTGGACCCTCACCTTCTTCCTTCCCTGCATTTTCCCACTGTCTTTGTCTCTCCAACCTCCCCTCTGTCTGCCAGCTCCTTCCTCTTTGTCACCATTTCCCTGAGTGCACTGCTGTGGGTCAGAGCCCAGGTCCTGCAGTAATTACTTTTTGGTCCTGCTTGCCCTCTTGTTCCCTAACACTTGCCTCATAGGCTTGTTTTTGTGGAGCTGTCACTCCGGCCTGAGGTAGGATTTACAGTATATTGCTGCTATTATAGTTTTAATGGGCTCTGAGCTCATTAAACAAGTAGTGTAACAAATACTCTTTATAGGGGCAGCAGATGTGCCCTACTAAGAGTGCAAGGCAGGTCTGTAAACACACGGCCCTGAAGTCACATGCCTTCAGCCTGACTAGAAAGAACATCAACAAAGAATAAAAGGAGGGAGGGAGGCAGAGAGACTGAGGGGGGGGACATTCAGTAACATTAGCAGACTGCTCTCCTCCCTCAGGAATTAGGTAATGGTTGTACACATTCTCACAGAGATCAAAAAGGTGTGCTGGATTTGCCAAGTGTTATGTTTAAAAAAGCGACACCATTTTTACTTCCAGCTGTGTCCACACCCTACGCCGTTCATGGGAATACAGCTATTCACCACAAAGCTGGCTCGCAGGCCGAGCTTAGATTTCCGGAACTGGGAAAACACCTGCTTAGCATTATTAAAGCAGAGCAATGTTTTTGTGTACTGGATCAGTGGTCCTTTCACGCCAAGAAAGCTGCAAAACAATGCTTTCATAAAAGCAGCCGGCTACAGTTTGCTGCCCAAAGGGAGCACATGGTCATCACTTGGGCCCATACATCCCAGGCAAAAGATTTTCATGTTCATCCATTCACTTTGAAAGTGGACCCAGGACCAGGAAGAAAATCAGCTGGAGGACACAGCTGCTGTCTGAGGGAAAGGAAGAGCAAAGCAACTGTGACGTCAGTGTCTCACCAAGAAACAGGAGGCGTGTTCCTGAGCCCTAGACATACAGTATACATGTCTGTGCAGCAATGGGAGAGCCTGGTGACCGTAGGGCAGCAGTGATCTTCAAGTCCCAAGAAAAGACGGGCAGCGGCCTGCACTAGTCAAAGCACCCAGAAAGGGGCAATTTGGAACAGCCACTCAAAGTTAGCCTGCTGTGTTTGGTAGGGTTCCACTTCCCACAAGCACAGTCACCCAGGTAACAGTAGAATCAGCTGCTTTACCATGGTACCAGGAGGGTCCACTGAACATATAGTACACAGCAAAAAATATGGGGATTAATGACTCTCTTTCACATTTTAATCGGGAAACCGGACCCACTTCCAGTCTGTCAGATCCAGAGTAGTGAAAACAATGGCTCAGGGAGAACGGGATGCTGGAAATACACCTGCTTTCCTTCCGTCTCCTGGTCCACAAGGCCTAGTGCAGACGAATGTGAACTGGGGACACCAGACTGCGAAGAGAAATATTGGAACCGACCGCACAGTGGACTATGCAGATCTGTAATCGAAAAGCAGTAACAATGTAATCCAATAGGTTCTGGAGACACGAGGCATCCTGGTTAAGAACAGGCTGTTCTGGAGCAGCCGGCCCCATCCGCACCAGCTGCAGCAATCGCCCAGCTCCTCACCTTCTCCTCTAAGGTCAGAAAGAGACAGATCCTGAAGCAGTCGCTTTAAATCACTTTATTCCAAAGAAACACATTAAACAAGTCACAGGTCACAAACACATTAACGTCCTGAAATATATGCACGGAGGAGATATATACATATAAATTAAAAATGATAAAGATCCTAATTTACACATTTTTCAGATATATTTATGAATTGAGAAAGGGAATGTTAGACCCATCTTATCATCTTAACACCATGCGATGGGCTGGGCTTAATATTACCCCATCGTGTCTGGCTTTAGAGGTCCCTAGCCCAAGCACACCCTCAGCCAGTCTCACAAACACTGCAGCTATACATTAAACATCACCGTGTAACCTGGAATAACCCCAGTAATTACTACAGCTCCTGCACTATCTTATTTTATACTTTAAGACACACCCGCCTGCCCCACTAACACAGCAGCAGATAGTGATGAACTAGACTATTTTCCCTGTTTAAAGGAGAGGCTAATAAAACAGCCTACATACATATAAGACCCAATCCTGCATATTGCATGTTTATATCCAGATGAAAAAAAGCTCATTTTGACCAAATATGAGGCTGAAAGGATTCAACATATAGTATTCAAGTTAGGGGACCCTGGTTTGCCTCTCCATCCACCCTAAGGTTACAAAAAGCACACAGTCCATTACTGCATCTGGCCCAAACAGACCTGAGGGAGTCAGTGCTCAGTATGAATGCAACCAGGTCCCTCCACTAACCTCCGAAGTGCCGCAGGTCAGCTGCTAGTCTGGACTGGCTGGGGAGTCGGATTGTAAAAACCACTCACTGCTCCTGAACCCAGACAGCTGTCCCCAGTGGTCCACACCCTCCCCTGCTCTCAAAACCATAGCCTCCAAAGACAGACTGCAGATGGTACTGTGGTACTTCACCAAGCAGAGCTACAATACGGACAAGCACACATCAGCTCACAGGCACCCTCCCTCTCAAACAGGCCCAAAGTGTGTTTTCCATGAAAGGCAAATGTTGAAGACTTCTGTGAATCTCTGAAGAGGCAGGGAGTTGAATCAAAGCACCTAAATCAGTGGAATATAATTAGAAAAGGATCCATCCCCAAAAGCTGGAGCAGACAGAAATCGCTGTGCTGTGGAACACAGGAAGTGAGAGTTGGTCAGGGTAAAAGCAGTTCCTGCTCTTCCAACAGCATGCTGTTCCC